ATGTATTTCTTTTATATATCACAGGTCAGTTTACCCCAAATATGCTGAATTAATTGGTCCAGGGTAGCCTTGGGTATTGGTAATTTTTAAAAACTCCCAAGATGATACTAATATGCATAGATGAGTGTCACTGGTTCAGCTTTATTTTTAGCTTTATGGATAATATCTTTTACAGTATAGAAGTTTTTATTATATAGCTAACCTTGTTAATGTTTCTCTGTTCTTCGCTCATAATCAATATTTTACCAAGAACTGAGTATCTCTTTTTCCAACTTATTTATAATGTCTTTCATCCTATAAAAAAAAAATCAATTTTAATGTTGTCAAGATTATCAATCATTCTCTCTTGGTCATCAGCTTTTAAAAATCTGTAGTATTTGTATTGTCCTGAAAGTAGATACAAGGTTCCCGGGTCAGGGTCCGATGAATCTTGCTTACATATAGTAATAACTCTGCTGATTCTGCCACACTCCAATTTCCCCTTTCTGGGGTGACTCAGTGAGAGCCTGATGTCAGTCTACCTAACTGGTGTTGACTCCCTGGGCAAGGAACCACAAAGTAAGAATCTAGGAGCTTATACAGGACAAGGGCAGCTGTCTCTTCCCCCCTCCTCTGAGAGACAAGGAGAAACTCCATCTCCCCAATGTAAACAAATTTTCCTTTGAACCCATAGAGAAGGATCCTTGGTTTATAGGCTTTGGAATGTAAATAAACATCTCCAGGGAGAAACTAGTGTCTCCCAGTTTACAACCCACAGGATGTCTCCATGGTGCCGGGTGTCATCTCTTCTTTGAAATGGGAACGAATGCCTCAACGGGGGGTAAATCTCTGGAGCTTTCGCTGTCTAGTCAATCATAATTTAACTTTCATACCTGTGTTTTAGTCCAGAAGCTCTAATTGTGCAGAAACAAAAAATAATTTCTCTACAGTCCCATACTGTGGTTTATACTTTTGTGACCTACTTAAGTAATCTTTTCTTATGCTAAAGGCATCAAGATAATCTCTACTCTTTCAAAATTTAGTTTCTATTTTATATTTGAAGCTTTAAGCTAAAAAAATATATAATAGGAGAAATAAAATGCTTATTGTTTAAGGGAATAATTCAGCAATTAAAAGGAATTCCAGTTTTTTACAACTTTAAAAACACAATACAAATCAGAAATATAATCCCAGCAATGTTTGTTTTTTGTTTGTTTGTTTTGCTTTTCTTTCCAAAATGTGCTTCTCTAGCCCTTGATTCACTTCCCAGGTGTAATTACATCTAGAACCTCTCATTTGCTCATCAGTCTCCTCAGGTGCCTCCCCCAATCTAAGCCTCAGCTCCTCTCCACTGAGTCTAGCCCACCCTCACCCATCTGCCTGGGACTTTGAGAAGCCTCATTCTAACAGCCTAGATCTTTCTCTGATATAGAATTTACATCATAGAAAACTAGAAACTTGTCTTCAAAGACTCTAGGAAGTGAGTGTCAGTCAGGGTTAGGGGTGAACAAAAAGTAAAACTGAGGGGGAAGTCGGACAATATTCTTACATCAAAAATTCCTTTTGTTGTTGCTTTTGTTTTGTTTGTTTGGAGCCAGATTGGTTTCAGGCTGCAACACCGGTAAAAACCCTAATTCGGGTTTTACCAGACCCTAACCAATCTGAGGAAAGGAAAAGGCCAATTCTGGCCCCTCTAGCCTTTCTGTCTCACCAGGTGGGGGGAAACAAAGCACTGATGACACCAAATGCTTATGGGGATGTGGAGTAACAAGAATTCATTCATTTTTGATGGGAACACACAGTCGTACAGTCACTGTGGAAAGATACCTTGAAAGTTTCTTCCAAAACTAAAGACAACCTTGCCATACAATCCCACAGTTGTGCTCCCTGGTATTTAGTTAAAAATTTATGTTCACATAAAAACTTTCACACAAATGTTTATAGTGCTTTATTCATAATTACCAAAACTTAGAAGCAACCAAAATATCCTTTAGTAAGTGAATGGATAAACTGTGGTAATCCATTTAATGGAATAGCTTTCAGTGATTAAAAAAATGAGCTGTCAAGACACAGAGGAACTTTAAATGCATATTGCTAAGTGAAAGAAGCCAGTCTGAAAAGGCTACATACTATATGATTCCCACTATATGACTTTATAGACAAAGCAAAACTGTAGAGAGAGTAAAAAGATCAATGGTTGCCACGGGGTAGGGAGAAAGATGAATAGGTGAGGCACAGGAGATTTTTAAGGCAGTGAAACTATTTTGTATAATATTGTAATGATGAATAGAAAACATTATGCATTCACAAGGTGAAGCCTAATATAAACTATGAACTTAGTTAATACGAGTGTATAAATATTTGTTCATCAATTGTAACAAATGTAACACACTAATGCAAGATGTTAATAAAAGGGGAAACTGGGGGCGGGGAGAAAAGGGACTATATGAAAACTGTACTTTCTTTTCAATGCTTTTATAAACCTAAAATTGCTCTAAAAGTGCAGTCTATTTAATTTTAAAAAGTTCTTCTTTATTTTCTTGTTGTTATATTAAATAAGCTTTAATTTCATGAAGAGAATTAATAAAAGAAATAGCACTGTTATTGCATTACTTAAAAAAAATCAGAGAGTGTGGTAAGGTGTAGAATAACTATGTAGCCATGTACTTAAAAAAAGTGATTGCTCCTTTAGCAGCACTTAAATGACAAAGGGCTGCTGATGGGAAAGAGAAGAAATTATTTTGTTGGTTGGTAGCCTACCTGAAGGCATGATTTTATGGGTAGTTGCAGTGTCTTAGACTACTTTGTAGTTAATATTGGTCAAAGAAGCAATGACAACTTCACTTGGCTTCTGCTTTCATTTTATAGCACTGAAGTGATTACAAAGTAGATGTGAGCATAGAACAAATGATGATTAGCATTTGAGCTAGAAACGATAGCTTTTTGTTCATTTTTGTTGCTAGATAAAAAATGAATAAAGGGCACATAAATTTAGTCAAATTAACCAGAATCTTATTGAATAACTATGTCATATAACCATTTCAGAGTTTCATTTATTTTAGGTTACCAGACACTTGATAAATGACAAGAATTTTAAGTATATGTGGCTAAGTTCTGTCATTTGCTTGGGAAAATAGAAAAATGAAATCTCATATTAAATTATATTGGATTTTATGGTAATCATTTGAACTGTAATATAATTCTAATTGGTTTACCAGTGAATTTTTTAGGGTTCTTATTTCTGGCTTTTTGATGATCAATTTCAATTTGCTTTCATGTATTTTATTTTTCCTTCCATCATCTGTCTTTTAATATTATGAAACTTGGTAATAATATATTCATTTGAATTTTATGAGCCCAGTAAATGTCCTTTTATGATGCCTTTTTCATTTCTAGAGAAAAAGGCATTCCCAGCCTCAGAAGGTTATTTCTTTAAGCTTTTTATAAAAGCTAGTCAAATTGGTTCAACTGTCCTGACCTCTTCAGTTTTAGTTGGTTTTCCATTTTACTGTTGCAAGTAAAAGTACATCTCAAGTTTTTAGTAGCTGTCAGAAATTGAAGTGCCACAGATAAAAATTCGGGGAAAAAAACCCAGCATGCTATGAAAACAAATTCTATAAAGGATATTGTAGTATCATTGCAATTATATTATCCCCTTTGGATATAAAAGAGTAAGAAAAGTTTTATTTTGTGACCAACAACCCTGAAGTTTGTATTATAACACCCTTATCCTCAAAGTATTTCCACATATTTTATACATTTATAATAATAGCTACTATCGCCTGAGCACTTTATATGAGATGCCACCAACCTAAATGCATCAGCAAAGGAAGATTCAGTTCAATAAGAGAATAGTAATGGTTTTAGCACAGAACAAGTGTTCGGTAAAAGTCAGCTATTCTTATTACTTTTCTTAGGCCATTACTTTTTTCCTAATCTGAGATCTCTCAATTTCCTTCCTAAATTAAGATTTAATTTATGGGCAGTGAAGTGCACAAGTGCACACTCTAAATGTACAATTCGATGAGTCTTGATAAATGATTACATCCATGTAACCCATACCCGATCAAGATATAGGATATTTTGATCTTCCTAGAAAAAGTCTTTGCTCCTTTCCAACAAATCTCTCCCACTGAGTAGAGGCAACTTCTAGTCTGACCTCTATTAGTTTAGGTGATTTGTGCAGATCCCCAAGCCTGCTAGAGTGGAATTATATAGTTGTTACTCTTTTGTTTCTGGCTTCTTTCACTCATGTTTTTGAGCTCATCCATGTCCTTGTGCAAATCAGTAGTTTGTGCCTTTTTATTTCTGAGCAATAGGTCATTTGTATGAATATATCTCAATTTGTTTATTCATTCACCTGTTGATGAACATTAGTTGTTTTCAGTGTTTGACTACTGCTAATAAAACGAATCGAGATCCATTCAATGAAACAAGGAGGTACTTATAGCTAGATTTTAGAGCACAAGGAAGATGGAATAAGAGATGAAAGTATGGGGACAGTCATGAAAGACTTTATTTTGCTAAGGAAGTTTGATTTTAATTGTCAAAAGGATAAGGGACCATTTGAGGAAGCAACGTGTCAGATAATCATTTCAGAAATACTACTTGGTGGGGCAATGAGCGAAAAACATGGCTTTCTATAAGCTTTACCTCACAGGAGGAAAAAGATATTGTTTGGAATTAAAGTATGCATAAATTAAAGCACTATTTCCTGTGAGTTAAAGCATAAAATATAGGTGTATATTTGGGGAAGAGATTTTTTGGGGGCACCGTGGCATAGGACATAAGTACCCCATGCATATACAGATTAGTCAGCTGTAGGTTTGAGGGGATCACCTTTGTGTAACTCTGGAATACCCACCCTGTGCAGCACCTTCCTCTTCAGTACTCTACTACACAAATTCTAGCAGCTCAACCTGCCCCCCCACCAATTTCTAACTCCAATTCCTTTCTCCTCAGTCTGTGAAGATGGTCAACCTCTGTTTGAGTTCCTCCTCCCTGTACTAAAGCTGGGAACCTGCCTCCAGACAGTAAGTTGATACAGCCATGAAGCTCACCTCATTTGTCTCAGGAATTAGAGTCCTGCATATCCAGGTGTGCAATATATGAAAAGATTTTCACATATTTTGTCTAGATTTCCATGTGCTTATAGCAAAAGCACAATTTTCATACCAGTTCATCTTTATAAAAGTCACCATTTTCTTTCTATTGCTAGTGTTTGGTTGGCTAATATGTCTATTTCTCACTAGAGCGCAAGCTTCATAAGCAGAAGAATTTATTCTTTTTAAATTATTTTTATCCTCATTGCAACCATTCAGAACAATCATACCCAGGGTGGGTTTTGGTGTGCAGAGTCCAGAGGAAGCCATGCTAGGAGCCTGAACATACCCACCACCTAATTCTTTTTTATTTTAGAAACTGCCCAACTCAGGCAAGTTTGTCTGGAGTAGTTATGAATGTTTGTGCATCAGGTACCAAAGACAAAGTATGTAAGAGAATGAGAAGTTGTCTTCTGATTTGGTAACTTAATGGATTTGAATTATTCATTTCAGCACTATATGTGTATTACTCTGCAAAGGGCATTAGTATATTATATCATTTTATTCTCATTGGAATCTCATGCCCTCTCAGAAACCTCCCTTGGAATACATAGCTCATTTAGGATCACAGAGCTAGTGACAGAGCCAAATCTTCTTATAACTTCAAAATCTTTTTCCATCAGTGGGGCACGTGGGTGGCTCAATTGGTCTGACTCTTGGTTTCAGCTCAGGTCATGATCTCGAGGGTTGTGGAATCAGGTTCTGCGTTCAGCAGGGAGTCTGCTTCAGATTCTCTCTTTCCCTTTCCCTCTACCCCTCCTCCACTTACACATATGCATTCTCTCTCTCAAATAAATAAATCTTAAAAAAATATTTTTCCATCATACAATCCACTAGCTGCAGAATTCACAAGCTTTTAATACAAGTAAAAATCAATGGTTTGATATAAATAGTGTGACCATGATAGGCACAATCACATTGCCAATTTTAATTATCATTGGTCCTATCAAAGGGATATAGGAGGGGCTCTCTCTACTGATATTTATTTTTAATTGAGATATAATTGACATATAACATTGAATTAATTTTAGAGGTACAGCATAATGATTTGGGATATGTATATATTGAGAAGTGTTTACCACAATAAATTTAGTTAACACCCATTACCACACATAGTTATATATTTTCCCCCGGAGATGAGAACTTTTAAGATCCATTCTCTTATCAACCTTCAAATATTCAATACAGTATTGTTAACTGTAGTTATCACATTGTACTTATACTCCTAGGACTTACTTATCTTATAATTGGCTACTTGTACCTTTTGACCACTTTCGTCCATTTTGCCCACCCCGAAACCCTGGAAGCAAAACAAAATTTTAATCATTATATATTCAAATCATATATTCAAATTATATATTCAAATCATATATTCAAATTATATATTCAAATCATATATAATCAAAACAAAATAATGCTTAAAACATAAATAAATATCTCTTGAATGAATTAATGAAGTTAGGAAGCTACTCAAACAGAAAGCCAAACAAATATTAAATGTCATAGAGACATCAGTTAAAACAAACCCTGTAATTTGTCTGTAGGTCATTAGCCAGAACCATTTTGGTGGAGTGATGTCGATGAAAGCCTTATTGCATTAAGTACAAGAGGAAAAAGAAAAATAAAGTAAACATGTTAAAACATGGTAAGGGTAGACACATTGAGATCTGTATATTAAGCAGGATTCAATTCAGCAGTGAATTCCAGGAAAGAAAAGTGGCTTACTTATGTGATAGTTCAGTAATTACAAATCTAGTAAGGACAGGCTTTCTGTAGTGTATCCTGGTGTCAGCGATGACCAAGATTCCCTTATCTTCAACTTTATCTTTATGTTTATAATTCCACACATCCTCTAAAATTATTAGAAACTACATTTATACTTATATTTTTATGTATGTCCTTATTTGTGCTTCATTATGAATTCTTTAATTCGTCAAAATATCCTTAGGTTTATAGAGAATGATTTTTTAAAGATAGAAAGGATGCATTTACAGTTTATATAAAGGGAGCTAGCAGACACTTTGATGTGGAAATCACAGTGGGGGAAGAGTGAGTAATTGAAGGATCAGCTTCCCTGAGGAGATAGGATAAGATTTGTAGAATTGCTTGATGCATTATCTTTGAATGCAAAAAATAATTTTCCTTTCAGACTACTGAGGAAAGAAGTAAATATATAGAAATAAATATACATGGTATTCTTATAGGTGTGGGATTTAAAGCTAATGGCACTCTGTTAAACAGCAATTTTCACTGTGAATTTGTTGGTAATTTTATTTGTTGGGACAGGATGATTTGTTACTTCTGAGGATGGTGAAGGGCACCTATCAAGGAATATTAAAATATAATTGTTCTTAGCAATATTAATGGCCCAGCTAAAGAGGTGGTCATAAATTTGTGGTGATATCAATTTGGTCAAACTCTTAGTTTCTGCAGTATGTCCTACAGTTTGGGTATAAAAGAAGAGAAGGCAGTTTGACTCATGACCCAGGGTATTCTGGGAAAAGCACTAAGATACATGGACAAGGGCATTGAGAATACAGAAAAGAGAAGTCAAAGCCATAAAGTATGCAGCAGTATAACAAGAAAAAGTCGTGAAGAAAGAGGATGTCAGATTGGGAGAAAAAGTAGTTATGGGGAGACTGATGTTAATAATGAGTTTGGAAAGGAATAGAAGATTGTGGCCATAAGTTGAATTTTTGATTTTAAAAGGGAACTTAACACAGACTCTACACTATTGGTTCCCAAATGTAGCCAATGATCAGAATATCCAAGCTGCTGAATTTTGAATCCTATGTTTGAGAGTAGGAACAAAATCAAATTTTTTTTACAAAAAGATACTTGGTTGATTCTGATATTTGATAGGTTCGAAAACCACTGTTCTAAATATTCCAAGATGAAACAAACATCATATGTCTTTTCTCATCTGATCTATTTCGTTTGGAGAGTCCTCCTCCATTTCTAGCTAAGGAATTCCAATCAAAACTTTTTAGACCTAGCCCCCAATTTTCCTCATCCTGAAGTTCCAGGTATTATGCTAAGTACTTTACTTACATTCTTTCTTTAATCTTCTACTTACATTCTTTAATCTTCAAACACTTCTATAAGGTAGACATAATTGATGCTAAGAAAGCTGTCCAAGATTATACACACATAAAAGTCACAGCACCAGGATTTGAACCAAAGCTGTCCAAATCCAAAATATTGGTAAGAGAAAAGCATATTTTATTGGGACCTAAACCAATTATACAAACCTAATTCACTTATTTTTTATCAGTTATCTTGCCACATGATTTTGTGATCTTTTATAATGGTAATTCCACCTTGCTGTCATTAGTATCTGTGATATTTGTCTTAGTTTCAGCTGTGTTTTGTTTTAGATTGGCTCTTTCATCACTGAAATCTACAATGAGAAGAATTACGGAATCACAACTTTTTGAGCTATGGTGATTGAATTGTGATTAACTTGATTCACCAAACATTCATTGATCTCCTCTTAGATACCTAAAGTTATACAAAATAGCAAAATTCTGTGATAAATAATATTTACTAGAAACATCAAGGACTCAGGAAGGAGGGCCCTGGGGAAGGGAGAGGAGCCTGGAAGGTGGGCAATTCAGTTTCCCAATTTATAAGGTAAAAGGGTAAATGAAAATAATTTTTATCCTTTTATGAAGAGCAAGGAGAAATTTTTCCCTTACCTTTTTTCTTAACCTGTTTTCTTGGACACATATTTAAACTGAGTCCTTCCTCTAACCTCTGGAACAGAAGTTGATCTCTGGGATTAAGCCCAGTCTCCATTTGCCCAAATTGTTCTATTTTGGAGTTCATCTCGTTTAGGTAAAAGCATTTGTTTTCTTGTGGCCATAAAAATTCTTAGACTTGGAAATCGCCAAACTAATTTTCCTGCACTGCCTTAGAAACAGATTTCTAGTCATGCCATGTTTTCTTAAAAGTTGTTTTCATACTTACACCGAATATTGCCTATTTCTGAACTTCTAAATGAAGCAAAAATATATTTCTGGAAAGCAATAATAACATTTCTTACATGTCCTCCTTGTCCTCATTACATGTCTACTTTTTGTACAGCATTTTCCCATTATCACATTATTCTCAAAACAATCTAATAAAAAGCACATAAAGATGGTACCTTCACTCCCATATACAAATGCCAGAACTGATATACAGATATGGTGAAGCATTTGTCCAGTAGGATAGGTATTGGGAGGAGGAATGAGTCAATAACAGCCCTTCTGGTGTTCAGTCCCTTAGTTTTTCTGTTTTCTGTCAGTTTTGACGAGTGTTTTGAATATGAATGAATACTCAGAAGAATGGCTCCTTCCTCCTACAACCTAAGGCAGAAGCAGGCAGGCTGACCAGCCTCCACAAGCCTCCCTCTTCATGCCTTAAACCACTTTGCAAAGAAAGTGAGTTAAAACTACTCAGGAAACAAACATGTAGCACTGTGAAAACATCATGAAAATTAATATTCAAAGTGCTCTAGGACTTTATTTTAATGATTCTCAAGCTCATGATTTATCTTCATAGCAAATGCCAAAGAAACTCCATCGAGATTGAATTTAGAAAATAATATTAGGCTGAAAGAACCGGAATAAAATAATATTTTCATTTTACCTCTCAAATCAGGATTTATCTGACTAATAACATTTCCGTTTTCATGTGTATTTAGCAATTTCATGAGCGGTACAACTCCTATTTTAGGGATTCTTATGAATCATATGAAATAAATAAGTTTGCTGGGTGAATGTGTGGCAGACAGAAGTCAATCATTTTTACTAGTTAAATCTACTGATAATATAAGAAAAAATAACACCTGTGAAAAATGCAATGAGAATTAAAATGGCTGATTTTGTTTGAACACAGCATATGTGTCTTGTTTTGAAGTGTATATAATTAGAGGGTTTTTAATGAATAGAAAAATGTAGTTTTGTATTGATCTCCTTCCTCTGAATGTTCCCTCATTTCCTCCTTTGAAAT